TCCTTCAAAACCGAATTCATTATGATAAATATTTAATGAAGTAGTATTTCTGCAAAGAGTTTCTATCAATAATTTACCAGTTCATTCCGTTTAAGACTTAAGGATGTTAGAATTTTATTTTTGTAAAGGATCTCCGCAAGTGATTTTCCAATTCGATTATAATTAAGATCTAAGCATATCGATGTAGTGTTTTTATTAAGAAATTCCGCCATAACTTTTATTCCATTATGGCCAAGTTCATTGCCGGAAACATTTCATAGCTAATATTTTCGTTTCTTTTGATCCAAGACTACAAGTTTAATGAAGTCGATTAAGCATTTTACAAAAAATGTTCACTAATACTTCTTCAAAATTAAGTTTATGAGAAAGATTTAAGGTAGTAACAACGGAGTTTTCATTCAACAACATCTTTACAATTTCGTTGCTAATGATTCGTTCATAATTTAAATGCTTAATTTTTTTACTTTCTCGTAATTAATTAAGAATATTAAACTATTGAACCACACTTTCGAATTTTGTATATATGTTGTGCTGTCAGTTGCATAATGCTCATTTGGCCAGAATTAATAGATCAGCCCAAACTTTAGCAACTCTAACCACAACTCAGGCCAAAGCGACATCTGACTAGGGTGAATGGTATAGGTAAAAATTTGGAATGCTATTTGCTAAAATTTATACCTAGCATGCCACCCCAGTCATGTCACTGGATTTAATTGTATATTACACAAAAATTATATTTTAAAAACCAGTATTGACAATATTCAAAGAACAAAACTTAGAAATAAATTTCAAAAATATATTATATCCAATTTTCTAAATAGCTAAACTACAAATAGTGGCCTATTTTTTATGATATTGTTTTTATATTAAATATTATTAGCTTTTAAAGTTTGTGAAGCCTTTAGGTGTCCTGCACTATAGCATTTCTTTTCTTACATAATTTTGTTCCCATTAAATAAATTATGAAGGATTTAATATAAATATTTCTTTTAAAACTTTCAGAATTTTTTAAAAGATGAAAGATATCATCCAACTTTTCTTTTTCTTTAGCATATTGAAAAAGATTGCAAATATGGTTTAAAAAATTTATCTTCTGCTATTAGTAAATCATTTTCATATACACTTGACTCTCGTTAATATCAATCCATTTGGATTGGACAATTATGTTGATATATGCGAGGGTTGATAATATCGGGATAGTTTTTATATATTTTGGGTCTATTTTGTCTTAACAAAGAGGTTGATATTAACGGGGGTCAAGTGTACTTCAAAAATTTTGTTCTCTTAAGTGAAGACATTGTTCGGAAAGTTGCTTTATTGAAATAAATAGAACATTGAGTTTTATAGAATGAGAACTTATGAATCATTTTTATATCAATATTGATCAAAAAATACAATAATTTTTAAATTTAATTTATTTATCAATTTTTTTATCTTAATAAAACCGTACAATACCTATTTAATTTTAAATGTTTATTAAGACCAAATATTTCAAATAATTTAAATAATTCTAAAGAATCAAATATAAACATTTTTATAAATTTCAATACAGCATATTTGGCTGTATATATGATGTTAACAGGCATTTTTAATTATTTTTTGGTAATTATTATTATAATTATTTAAAATTGTATATTTAAATTATATAATTATTTACTATATAGAAGATTTATCTTCTGTGTCAAATTGGTCATTAACTAAAAATTTGACATTAACATTTTTACTAATTCTTTTTTACAACTATCTATTTAATGAATTTGTTTATTGGATTATTGTCTAATTCATTAGTAATACAAATAAAAAAAGAACTATTCTTATTTCAAAGAGCAAATGTAATATTTTATATTAAATAATTTATTATTTTTTATTTTAATATTGTAATAATCCTTGTACTCTTTAACAGATTATATTAGAAATAGAACTTCTTTATATGCTACCTACCAACGAAGAAAAAATAATTGGTTTCCTGAGCTTTTGTAAATATTAATTTTAGTAGTTTATTATAAAAAATTTATTTAAATAATTTTAATATTAATTAAATTAATATTCAAAGATTTTATAGATTTAGTCTTGATAAACTTTATGAAATAGTTACTAAAATACAAAATAAAAATGGGATGATGATACTATTGAAATGCCATTTATTCCCAATTTATTATTAAAAATTATTAGTAAAACTGAGTTAAAAGATAAATCTTAAAAACTAGTTATTAAAGAATAGACAATTTAAAAATTAGTAGATAACAAAACAATAATTCAAAAACTAAAAAAAGTGAAAAAGTAATTCAAGAATTAAAAAATATTTTTGAAAAAGAGACAGATTAAAAAATTATTAGAGGTTTAAGTTGCAGATAATTTTGTTTGAGTCTCTAGTTTTAGTATTTCTTAAATATAAAGTTTAAATTTAATTTTTTTTGTAAGTTCAATTGAGTTTTAATAAAGATAGAGATCTTTTAAGATTAAAAAATTGTTATTTTATTTATATAGTGCTTAAAATTGTTAGTATTATGAATTATTTATTACTATTATTAAATAAATAAAGTTCGAGAACTCGTAAAACTTTAATAAAAGAAAACTAATTCAAATATAATGATGCACTTAAATTATTCGAATAAATTTCTAAAATATATTCGATTATATCTTTAAATTTCTTCTTGGTTTCATATTTTTTTAATGTAATGTGAAATGGGTCATACCAAAGTTTCGGTAAAAAAATGAAGGACTATTGTTTATTTACTAATGAACAAATGAAATATACTATGATATTCAATTACAAATGAAGCAATTTCAAGTATTGTTTATTTGGAAACATGTTAAAATTAAAAGATATAATAGTTATAAAAGTTTTATATAGTTATTAGAGTTAAAAGATTGCAATTTCAAGTATTATCTCTTTTGGAAAACATTTTAAAATTAAAAGATATAATAGTTTTATATAGTTATTAGAGTTAAAAAATTGCAACTCATAAGAATGCAAGATATAAAAATTGAAAAAATTTAAAGCGGAATCACAACTTGAAATTTATTTAATTTATATCTTGATTTGGTAATGATAAATATATTCATATTTAATATTTTCTATTAATAGTAGGTATCAATTACAAATTGAATAAAATCTTAATTTATCATAATTAAATCTTTTAATTACATATTTTTAATAGTAGTAAAGAAAATGATCCAATTCACGCCATAAAAAATAATTGTTCAATCACATAAGTATTTTTCCAAACTATTTTAATATATTTTACGACACAAATTTTAAAATAAAAATTAGGACTGAAATAATGACATTATAGTTAAATCTAATATTAGTTTAATACATCAAATCAATCAAATGGCAGCATCCATAATTTACGTTAAACCAGTACTGTATTGTATAAAAATAGGTACCTTGAAGGTAATTCCATATAACAGTTTGTCAAGATAATATAAATACTTCAAATTGGAGAAATAATCCATTTTAGTGAAAGCAGTGTCAAAAAAAAAATTATACAAATTTTGCATTCTGATTTTCTAATCATGAGTATATCGATATAAATCGATATTTTTGACCATATCGATAATATTTTTGCAAAATTAAATCGATATTATTCACCGTCCTGGTCCTAGCCCATTGGTGTTGAGTAAAAAGATTTAAAATATCTCTAAATAGAATCCGCGGCAAGATCTTCCCTAATTTGGGGTTCGTTAAAGCCTTGTACCCATGTGACTTTGTATATATAGATCAGCCAATAAAAATCATGAAATTTGTTTACACGGATCAGCCCGAAGAAGTTAAAAAAACTTCGAGATCACGTGACAAGGCGACCCCTAATTTGGAAGTCCGCCCGCAACGTAGAAATTTATATGCGACCTTTTGTGTAACACGAAAAAATTAAATATAAAAGTAAATTGATCACTTTTGTCATCATAAAGTCTCGCGACCTCTGATAAATTCTTGCTTTTTTTTTTATTTTAAATTTGGCTCTTGAATAAGGTCTTGTCATAATTTTCAGCAAATTACCCGAATAATTTTATCACAAAATTAATCTTTAAAGCATGGCGAAAATTAAAAAAGCGTGCATTTCAAATGGAAAAAAGCAAAGATGCTTAGCTGGTTGTACCATCACCAAGATATGTAGACAATGTGAACAGTCGAATCCAAGGAATACAGTCAATAATTCTTTCTCACTCCCCGACGATAATCATATCAAAATAAACCGAATCCATCGTCGAGAGAAAAATTCAAAATACGCTGCTCGTCAAGATGAGTTGAATGTAGAATTTGCCGCTCTAGAAAAGGAATTGGATTATTTTAAGAGAATGGTAGATTCTCTTGAACAAAATCATAGTCATCTTTCTCTTGAAATCTCTTCCCTTAAAAAAGAAAACTCTATTCTCAGTCAAATTTATCCTTCGCCTGAAAACTTTTTTTCGGAGAATATATTTAGTGATTCTAGAATATCTCCAGGAATTTCTCATAAGATCTAACTATTTTTGCTATTTCTTATTGATTGTTTTTAATTTTTTCTCGGGTCTTGGATTGATAAATGAATTTGACTAAGATTGAATTCGTTCTCAGATCAATGTATAGACTTATTGTTAGTTAAATACTCAATATTGATTCGGTAGCCTTTTAAAACACATATAAATAAAATTTATTTCGTGCTTATAAATTTGAATGGCATTCTATCTGGAATATAAAAGCTTTTGCACATGACTTACTTTTATATAGGTAATTTCATCACTTTTGATACATTACATATAATTTAACAAGCTAAAAAAGTTTATTTAATTATTGCTATTTAAACTAAGCTTTTGGGATTATATATCATAATTTCGAGTAGTAAAAATAAATTATATTTTAATTGAATTTTTTTAAGATTCATTATTAAATTTTTATATAAAATTATGTATATAAATCCTTAAAATTCAT